CATGGACTGCAGGAAGGTTCGATGACGTCTTTTGTGAGCATTTCTTCAACTTCGTGCTGAATAACTTGTCGCTCAGCATTAGACACCCGATAAGGACGTCGTCGGACGCCAGTGTTAATCCTATGAGTTACAAAGGATGTCTGACCCAAAGGGGGGGTCATCAAAATCAAAGATGTCACGGTAGCATTTCAGCAGGTGCCGGATGTTAGCTGTCTGTTCTGGAAGAAGGTCCGGAGCGATCATCTTGTCAATGGTGGCATCCGCTGCGCTCTTTGAGGATAAAAACGGAGCAGAGGACGAAGAAGATTTGGCAACGAACGCCGAAATGGCAGCATCTATAGAAAAAACTTTTGCCAAAGTCATACCATCTGGGATAACTTGAGCGCACCAGCTGAAGTTTAAGATCGGAAGAGACGCTGTATTTCCCGTGACTGTCAAAAGTGTGTGAGGCACGGCAACATTTTTGGCCAGCACAACGTCAGCAATAGGTGTCAACATGTAGTCATCATCGGGAACAGGAGGGACAGATCTCAGATTCACGTAAGTAACGGCTTGAGGTGCTAGGTGAACGTGATCTGCAGAACACAGACGGGGTTGAGCTGGTGTTGGGTCGTCATGGTAACACGGTAAATCAAGTTGAAGCATGCCGGTTCGACAATCAATAAGGGCAGAGTGGGCAGATAAAAAGTCCATGTCGAGGATAAGTTCATGGGAACATTTCTCGAGCACAGCAAATAGCACTGTCGTGGAGCGATCAGCCACACTTACACGCGCGGAGCACATTCCAAGCACAGGAAACGTGCCGCCGTCGGGGACCTGGGTGAGTGGCACTGTGGGTGGCGTTAAAACTTTCCTAAGGCGGCAACGAAGTTCTGAATTCATCACTGATATGTGAGCCCCTGTGTCCAGAAGTGCAACAACGGGTGTGTCATCTACTTCAACGTCAATAAGGTTGCGTCGAGTCGGCAGCATGGTCAGAGGATTTGGTGGGCAAGTGGTCGATGCAGCATCACCTCCGGGAGCTGCATCATCTAGTTTTCCCGCGGCAGGTGGTCAGTCGGCGACGTTGGTCGGCGAAATATGGGCGAGCGAGATGATGGGCGACGGGAGAGCGGCTGAACGGGACTGGTGAGCATGCGGAGATGGAGAGCGACGACGATATGGCGGCATAGAAGGAATGTCTTCACTGGTGGCCTGAGGTGACTCCCGTTAAGTTTGAAAGCGTCCATGATCCATCTCTGGCCGATGGGGTACCCATAGGATGCCTGATGCCAATACCACCGAGTATTACAATGGCGGGCCACGTGTCCGATACGGTGGCAGTTGAAACAAATCGGGCGATCGTCAGCAGTTCTCCACTCGGCTGTATTGCGAGTGCGCGCCGGAAGGTTTTGGCTTTGGGCATAAGAAACAGGGGGTCGACGACGGTTGATCGGCTGAGAGGGAGCAGTAGTGCACTCGGAGGCCAGTCCAGCATTGGAAAGCTCTTGTCGCACAATGGCATGTACCAGTGGCACCATCTGAGGGCTAGAGTCACAGGCATGGGAGCACGCAGGAGACAGAGCTTCAAGTTCACGTCTGATGATCTTGGTCACATGCTCTGCAGTTAACAGCGTCTGTAGCGCAGGCCTGTCTTTGCACGACCAGGTTGCTGCTGTGTTTGGTAGTCAGGTGAAATTATGGGCAATACGCCGACTTTTTGCGGCCTCAAAACGCTGGCACTCCTTGATGATGACATCGACCATGTTGCAGTCCTTGCACATGAGAAGGTTGAATGCATCACCTGCAATGCCTTTCAATATGTGAGCTACTTTTTCGGTTTCTTCCATATCGTTGTCCGCTTTTTGGCAAAGGGCAAGCACGTCCTGTATGTAAGTCACGTAGGACTCTGATGACGTTTGCACACGAGATGCCAACTCCTTCTTGGCCGCTGCCTTTCTACCCACAGACTTGCCGAAAAGGGCGCGCATCTTTTCTTTGCACGCATCCCAGCTTCCAATTTCATCTTCGTGGTTCTCGAACCACACTTTTGCTGTTCCTTTCAAGTAGATCAAGATATTGGCTAACATAAGAGTTTCATCCCAGCGGTAATTCTTACTTGTACGTTCATACAATGGCAACCATTTTTTGATGTCGACATCATCTGTGCCACAGAACGTGCCAGGGTCTTTTAGCTGCGGAAGGACAACAGTTGTTGTTGCAGTCGCCTCGGCGGGAGCCGGTCCCTGGTTTGCCATGGGGGAAAAATCCAAGCGTCGGCCACTGCGGAGCTTCGTTATATCGTGTTGTACCCCGGCTTCTCCATCAAATGTCACGGGGGTGAGAGAATGAATGAAATAAATATATTTACAAAATATACAGGGAGAGTCATAGGCAGCTGCAGCCAAGATGGAAGAACAGCAGCAACAACAACACGAGCATGGTCGCTTTCATCGTCTTCGTCGTCTATGATGCTCTTTCGTTGCCGATGTCATGTAACAATATTAAAAAAAGGGCAACATTGTGCACTGTTTAACAACGTTTTGCACTGCTTCGTAGTCATGGCCAAGATGTGCTCCGGGGGCCCTCTCGTTGTTAGGAGAAGCTCTGCAGCCAGAGCAAGCACATTCGCTCCAGCGAAGTGTGGACTACGCACATAGCCAGAGTAGCTGTGCACAAAGGTCAGAAGCTATATGCACTTCCGGTGGAGGACATACCTTGAGGATGTAAAGAAAACATATCCTTGAACAGCTGTGGATGTCTCAGGCTGACGCAAAACATCGTCGTCATAAAGCTGAGGTGTTGTCATCCTAAAACTCTAAGCTCCCCCTCAATTCGTCATAGTAGTGACTAGTGGCACTAGATGCGACCCTGCATCTGAAACAACGATGCAAGTGAAACCAAAGCTGCTGGAAACTGTCAGAGTCTCACCTCGACACTTTGAAGTGTCACCACGACACTTTAAAGATTCAGAGGACCTTCATAAATATTTTTGTAGAACAAATTTTTTCTGACTCCTACGAACAGCTCTCCATTGAATAGCTGGCATAAATTGCAGGCAATTATTACTGCTCAAAATAGTCAAATTGCGAAGCTAACACTATAATATGGTATTTAACGTGCAAAGGTTCTTTTCGTTGAAGAACTTCTATATTACTGTAGCATAGTCACGAGGGGCATACATTTCTGTCAAGTTCATATTCATACCGCATTCGTATTATCAATCAGGTGATAGAGAAATGCTCAGAATACACCCAACTACTATACGTAGCTTTCACAGATTACGAGAAGGCATTTCATTCAGTTCACTTTAAAGCACACCAAATGGTTGAAATTTCCGGAGCCCTCCGCTACAGGCATGTAAAACCCCATTACTAGTATAGTGTGGAATATTGATCGAGATTTTTTCCAAAAATGTCGCTAAAAATTCGCTCCTCAACCTATATACCGGTTCTTGGAACGAACTGAGCGATCGTCTGGCTACAGGGAGAGTTGCATGCATTTTGGGCATCAGCATCGACATCGCCTCTGTGGGCTGACGCCATTTTTCTTTTCTTGTTTACCTCTCATTCATCAAGCAACTCGGGTTACAGCACCACAGCGAAAATGGTGCAGTTACCTATGCTGCTCTTCCAGGTGATGATGCTCTCCTATTCCCTACTTTGCTTCAACTTGGCCTTGACTTCGAATGCTTGGATTAATGACCCAATGGATCTGCTGATGCCTGCAGCCGCGGATCCACTCGTGCAGCACAGTTTGACATCACAAACCTCGTCAAGCAACCCGGGTCATTCAGTGACATGTTCATTGGGCTGTGCACTGCAGCAAACCCATATATACGCCCACCGAGACCCACTTTCTTCGGGCACGGCACCGTAATGAAAACGGTGCTCTTACCTATGCTGCTCTTCCAGGCGATGCTCTCCTGTTTCCTACCTTGCTTCATCTTGGCCTCGACTTCAAATGCTTGGATTGATAGCCCAATGGACCTGCTGACGGCTGCAGCCACGGATCTACTCGTGCAGCACAGTTTTATGACATCACCATCCTTGTCAAGCAACCAGGGTCATACAGTGACGTGTTCATCGAGATGTGCCGGAAAATTTTTGTTTCTTAAAAGTGACAGGTCCTTCGCTATCCTGCAGCATGCCTAGAACTTTCATGCAAAAGATGATGGATGACGTGCATAACACAAAGCTGTTGGTATGTTGGTATGAAAAATACATAGGAAGAACTTTATTATTGGAAATTGCTAAAAAAAGTGACGAGAGAAAAGGATACTACATTCGACGACAACTTTTCTTGGCATTGGAGTGAAGGCTACTGCGCCAAATCGCAGGCACCCCTACCCCTAGGTAATGTAATTCTACCACAGCGCCCGTATTTTCACCGTTCCCCCTGTATTTTTTTCGTGGAGCTATTTCAGACAAGATGCAGCTCTCATCATTAAGGTAGTCGTAACTACTTTAGTTTATTCTTTGTGACTTCGCGTTTCTGAATGCGCGAGGAAGTCCTGTCCTTTTACGTGCACCTCAAATGCTAAGCAATGTCTGCGTCCTCACTAAATGCTGATGGTGCGACCCCGTCACTTTCCATAACGTTATGAGACGCACGCCATAACGGACTACTTCGCATTGTGCTACATGTGCAGAAGCTCTACCTCTGTAGCTTTTCCTTCAGCACCAAGAAAAGTTGTCGTCGAGTATACATAATGTGCCGTTTATTAAGTGCACAGAAATTGTAAGCCATGCAATTTATTCTTTATGAACAGAAGTCATTTCTTTGTTAGAGTGAAAGGTGAATTTCCTTTTACTCTGCTTTTGCAGTACATCATATGATTTATCATGACACGTGCTATCTGTAAAACTTTTGTCAACTGCTATATTAATTTTTCAGCGCTGCATGTGTGTACATTTGTATCCTCGGCTCATATAGTTGAGCAATGTACGACAATTTCCTTGTGTATATATGTTTCTGGCCTTGTAGATGTGCTCACGAGGTTGCCACGTTGTTTTGTGCAGACAGCAGCGGCAGCACTGTGGAACCACGCATTCTAGGTTTGGCAATGGTCCCCGGCCAGCACATCATCTCAGTGCATGTGGACGGACAGTGCAGTGCATAGGGAGGACTATCGTGTTCTACACTGTTGCTTGACTGAAATTATGTGATAAAGCTGCTTCTGTTATTTTATATGACTGATTTTGATGTGTTACAGATTTATGTTTGATACACACACAACCAGAATGAAATTTTAAACTATAGAAGCATCCTCCATGTGAAATTTATTTTCAGATGAGTGTTCAAAAATGCTTACAAAAAATTGATGTTATTTCAATTCCGTATTTACCGTTTTTTAGAAAGCACATGGAAACCAGATTGTTCAGAGCTATGACGCTTCTCAAAATGAATCTTGAGTAGTGCCCACAGCACTCCCTCTGGGCATGTGGTCTAGAAACTGCATCCGACAACCGCACATGCTGCTGCCTTGGAGCAGTCATAAGATGTTAATGCGACCATAATACTCAACAGTAGGAAATGTGGTCAGTTGGTGGAAGTAAACAAGCTTAAATTAAATTATAAGAAGATATTTTAAGGGACCTTCATGCACTCGCCATGATGGCAGTGATGACACTAATGTAAATTCGATTTCACTATATAACTTGATCTCATTATTGTTGCAACTTTCATAAGCAATTGAGCTGGGTCTGGGTACCTTCCTTTCTATTTTATTCTTGCATAACCGAGCCACGTTGCCATTCTCACGGAATGAGACCAAGCTATCTGCATTTTTAAGTATCCCCAGTTCCCGTCATCCACGACCACAGCCACATCATTTCTATTGACATGGCTCTGGTCATAAGAGAGGTAAGTTTTTTTAGAACGTGGAGCTCGTAGTTGCCTCCCCATCGCACTTGTCGGTGAAGTTGATGATGTCACAAGGCGGACGATGTGAGAACTGGCATCTGCTTCCTTTTTAACAAGAAATTGTTTTATGTCCGAGTCCACCACAGCTCTGCTGACGTATTTCCGTCACCATTATAACGTTACAAATGGCAAAAAGACTTCATCACTGGGAATCAAACCTACAAGCTTATGCCTTGCAGTGCGAAACGACTCGGGCACAAACTGTTTATTCTTTGTAGCACTAACGTGCAAGCTATTTATATACATCATTTACTGTCTGTGGTATTCGCACTGTCCACGGGCTATACGTGGCGCACCGTGCATTTGAATAGGGATGCGGGCGGCGGGTCAATACGTGGAAAAGATTAACTCTTGATCGTCGAGTGAATTTATATCGGAAAGTGCTTTCCCAAACTATAGGAACTGCTAAGTGTCCCCTACCTAATTTTTTATTGCATTGCGAAGGGTGGTGGTGCCAGCTGATCAACCATGAATCATTGATGCCTTGCGTAATCCTGTGCGTGCTACAGAAAACTGCGTGAACTAGAATTGACATATGAACTGGGCGGCAATCCAAGGTAATTGGTATCGAGCCTGCCTGACAGATTTGCCGCAGTAGTAGGCCGCCAGCGAGTAGCGCGCCATCGTGGCTGCACGAGACCGAATGTTTAACGTGGCGATGGTTTGCAAACATCTTATGCCGTTGTCATTACTTGCGCTGTCAGCAACATGTAGTTGCTTCTTCAACGGAACGCAAACATTTCACTTCCGATTAAGTAGCGCTTGTGTCACAGCTGTGCTCAGGCTCTAATCTTGCGCAATTCACTGCACTCGATCAAATGTTGCAAGTTCCATCGGCGTGATCAAAACAAGGATATGGAAAAGAATGTACACATATTCTTTTCGCAATGTCGAAGTTGCAAAAACTTATTAAACAACAACATCGTACGGAAGGTACCGGTGATGTGCAGGAGAAGCAGAGAGGCGGGGCTGAATTGTAGTCATAACTGCACTGTTTATCGCTCTTAACAAATTTCGCTTCGCTGGTCAAGGTCGAGCGTGTTGGCGGCATGCGGTGCTCCATAATATGAACTGTAATTGAGCTACATTAACCAGAAAAACTATGCTTTTATTTTCACCTCGGTGAATAATATTATGCATTAAATACAATCAAAGTGACTTATGAGTATGAAAACAATGGTGCCCATATCTTCCCACGGGGGAACTCGAATAAACTCGTCACAGAGTGGTGGGAGTATCGCGTGAATGTTGTGTATTTCAGTATAGTTTGGGAATGCTTGCTATTTCATCCTTACTATTATTTATTGAATGAAGGAGAAGTGTTGCCTTTTAGGTCAAACGAAAGCCAAGTAAAGGTGCCCTCTCCACTAACCTCCAAAACACTAACCTCCAAAATATCTTTGCATGGTGCGAGCAATGGGAGATGAGGTTAAACACAGACAAAACCATCTTTATACTAGTAACCAACGAAAAAAATATTTTGCCATTTACATGCGAATCCGGTAACCAAACACTAGCTGAGGTTGTTGAGTATAAGTACCTTGGTGTCACTCTAACCAGCGACCTCAGCTGGAATAAGCACATCTCTAATATTTGCGCGACGTCTTTCCATAAACTTGGTCTTTTGAGACACAAACTTAAGCATGCTCCTTCTACTGTAAAAAAACTAACTTATTTGACTGTTATACGCCCCTCATTGGAATATGCCTCAATCGTCTGGGACCCATACACAAAAAGGAACATTGAGGCTCTCGAACTAATCTAACGCAAAGTGGTCCGTTTCATTTACTCCAAGTACCGAAGAACTGATTCCCCCACAAACCTTATGATAGAAAACAGTGTATTCACACTTGAAAAACGTCGTAAAATTTACAGGCTCAAATTTCTTTTTCTTTTAAATAACAACAAGTTGTTAGTAAACCGTGATTTATATCTGAAACCGCTTACGACAAGACATACCCGGTGCCAGCAAACTCATTCATTAACACCGTATTTTGCTAGAACAAACATTTTCAAATACTCGTTCTTTCCTCAAACCATAAATGACTGGAACTGCCTACCTCAATTGTTAACCGGCTCTGTAGAGGCACTTGAGCGTATTTAACCATGACCTATGTTTTTGTATCTTTTGTATATGATGTGTCTTTTTATTGTTCTTGCTGTTTTACACCTGTGTGCAATGTTATAATCTTGCCTCTCCTGCTGGGGCCCTTAAATGGGCTTGCAGTATTTTGTAAATAAAATAAATAAAAACATATAATATGAGGAACCGGTTTATTCAGCCAGGCTCGAGCTAAATCACACTGGTGATGATATTTTCAGATGATGAAGACGTACAGGTGATGAAGATATTTAAAGAGAATGAAGAGTCATTTGCTTGTCCCGCTCACACTAATTCCCCCGCATGGTGAAGGTGGCCGCCTGGTCGCTTCACAGTGTTATGAAATGTGTTGCGCATAAGGCTTTAAACGAGATATGTGCACTATCTCTGTCCCTCGGCAACGATAATCAGGATTAGTGATAAGAGGAGAAACGCGGTAATTGACAGGAGATGTCTCTTCGACCACCGTGTACGGCCCGATGAAGTGACTGATGAATTTGTCGCATAAGCCGGGGACGCATAGTGGAGTCCATAGAAGAACTTCGTCACCAGAAGAAAAACTCACAACACGTTGAGACGAGTCGTAGCGATATTTTCGAGTGTCTTGAGAGAGGTCGGTGTTAACACTGGCCAGGTGATGGCAGTGTGCGAGACGAGATAAAAATTCTTCACAGAAAGGAGCCGTCGAAGGTGCAAGGGCCGAAAGAAAAGAGACATCCAGAGTGAAACTCGGCGAGCGACCATGGACGAGAAAAAAGGAAGAAAAGCCAATAGTGCGTTGAGCAGCCGTATTATAGGCGAATGTCACGAAGGGTAGAATCGCATCCCAGTTCGTGTGGTTGGAGTGAATGTGCATGGCGATCATGTCCGACAGGGTCCGATGAAACCGTTCAGTCAATCCGTTGGTCTGCGGGTGGAAGCTAGAAGTGGTCTTGTGAACAGTGTTCGAGGAACGCAAAACTTGCTTGACAATGGAAGAGAGAGAGACTTTGCCACGATCACTCAGGAGAATGCGTGCAGCTCCATGACACAAAAAAATGTAGCGAAGAAAGAAATCGGCAACCTCAGTGGCAGTCCCAGATAATATAGAAGCTGTTTCTGCGTAGCGGGTAAGGTGGTCGATGGTCGTGACAATTCAGCGATTCCCATTGTATGATATGGATGATATAGGAAGAGGGTCATAAAAGTTGATTCCAACGACTTCAAAAGGCAAGGCGGGACAAGAAAGAGGTTGCATTAAGCCAGCCGGAGCAGTTGTCGGTCGTTTTCACCGTTGGCAAAGGACACAGGAGGCAACATACGTAGTGACGGCTGAAGAGAGGCTAGGCCAAAAACGACTTCATATTTTGTCGTAAGTCTTGTGATAGCCTAGATGAGCGGTGGTTGGATTATCATGAAAGGCTTGCAGAACTTCACGTTGCAGAAAACATGGGATGACGGGTACCAACTTGTTGCCATCGATGTGGTAAATGTAGTGGTATAAAGCACGACCGACAAGCTTAAATTGTTTAAGTTGTCGACGAAGTCTGGCGTTTGGAGGAGTAGTAGAGCCGGTCAAGCGGCAGTAATGCTGCGGCAGTATGGGTAGACACGTTGTTGGGAAGCAAGGACAGATAGGGTGCCGGGTCATGAACTTAGGGCTGCGATCGGAGAGGTGCTCTCGTTTTGAAGTATCAGTGGTAAGTGGCCTCCGCTGGACAAAGGACAGCACGATAGAGTATAAGCATCTTGATGCTTCTTCCCAGATCTGTAGGCGACATCGAAATCGTACTCTTGCAAGCGAATCACCCAGCGATCGAGGCGACTCGATAAGTTTTCAGCGATGGAAGCCAGCATAGGGTATTATGGTCGGTAACGACGGTAAAGTGACGGCCGTGAAGATAAGGTCAGAATCGTTGCACTGCCCAAACAAGGGCAAGGCACTCCTGCTCGTTGATAGTGTAGTTCTTTTCTGCGGCGGTAAGAACACGACTTGTGTAAGCAATGATGCATTTGCGTGAGTTTTTGTCACGCTGCAAGAGTACCGCACCTAGACCATGACTACTTGAGTCGGTGTGAAGGATGGTGGGTGCGGTGGAATCGAAGTGGCACAGTACCACATGCGACGTGAGGGCTTGCTTCAATGCCGTGAAAGCACCTCCACTGCTTGTGAGGAACCGGTTTATTCAGCCAGGCTCGAGCTAAATCACACTGGTGATGATATTTTCAGATGATGAAGATGTACAGGTGATGATGATA